ATGGTACATACACACAATGGAGTACTATGCAACGAGAAAGAACAATGATGAATCTGTGAAGCATCTCATAACATGGATGAAACTGGAGGACATTATGCTCAGTGAAATAAGTCAATCACAAAAGGACAAATATTGTATGAGAGAGACCTCTACTATAAAAACTCATGAAAAAGTTAACACACAAAAAGTAACAATCTTTGTTGGTTACAAGGGATGGGAGGGGTAGGGGAGAATACTAAATAGGCAATAGATAAGTGGTATCTTTGGTGAAGGGTGAGACAGTACACAATACTGGGGAAACCAGCACAACTTGTACAAGGAAAGTTCATGGAAGCTCCACAGACACATTCAAACTCCCTGAGGGACTGAACTGCTGGGCAGAGGGCTGTGGGGACCATGGTCTCAGGGAATATCTAGCTCAACTGGCATAACACAGTTTATGAAGACAATGTTCTACATTCTACCTTGATGAGTAGCGTCTGGGGTCTTAAAAGCCTGTGAGCAGCCATCTAAGATACTCCACTGGTCTCACCCCCTCAGAAGCAAGGGAGAATGAAGAAAACAAGATAAAAGGGAATGATCAGTCCAAAGACTAACGGATCACCACTACCACAGCCTCCACCAGACTGAGTTCAGTACAACTAGATGGTGTCCAGCTACCACCACTGACTGCTCTGACAGGGATCACAACAAAGCGTCCCGGACAGAGCTGAGGAAAAATGTAGAACGAAATCCTAACTCACAAAAAAAGACCACTTACTGGCCTGACAGAGACTGGAGAAACCCTGAGAGTATGGCCCCCAGACACCCTTTTAGCTCAGTAATGAAGTCACTAATGAGGTTTACCCTTCAGCCAAAGGCTAGACAGGCCCATAAAACAAAACAAGACTAATGGGGCACAGCAGCCCAGGGACAAGTACTAGAAGGCAGGAGGGGACAGGAAAGCTGGTAACAGGGAACTGAAGGTCGAGAAGGGAGAGTGTTGACATGTCGTGGATTGTTAACCAATGTCATAAAACAATATGTATACTAACTGTTTAATGAGAAACTATTTGTTCTGTAAATCTTCATCTGAAGTACAATAAAAAAAATTTTTTCAAATGGAATAGGAAAAAAAAAAAGATGCCAGTAAGAAAGTGAAAATACAAGACACAAAATAGGAGAAAATATTCACAAATCATATATTTGATAAGGGACTTTATTTAGAATATATTAAGAACTCCTACGACTCAGTAAGACATATAATCCAATTAAAAAATAGACAAGGTATGGATATTTCACCAAAGACATACAAATGGCCATTAAGCACGTGAAAAGATGCATCAGTAGTCATTAGGGAAATGTAAATCACTACCACAATGAGATACTACTTCATACACACTAGAATGGCTATACTCACAGAAGAGTATCAAGTGTTGGACTGGATATGGAGAAACTGGAACCTTGTACACTGTTGTATAAGTTTCTTAAAAAGTTAAAAATATAAGCTAGCAATTCTACTTCTAGCTATATACTCAAGTGAAGTAAAAATATATATCTACACAAAGACTTGGACGTGAATGTTCCGAGCAGCATTATTAATAGTCAAAAAGGAGAAATAACCCAAATGTGCATCAACCAGTGAATGAATAAACAAAATGTGTTACATATCCACACAATGGAATATTATATGGCAATAAAAAGGAATGAAGTACTGATGCATGCTAAAACATGGATAAAATGTGAAAACATTTTGCTAAGTAAAAGAAGTCAGACACAGAAGACCATATATTGTATGTTCCATTTACATGAAATATGCAGAAAAGGCAAACCTATGTGTAGGGAAAGTAGATTAGTCGGTTTTCTGAGGCTAGGGGTGGGGATACAGAGTGACTACATGTAAATGGGTACAAGGAATCTTTTTTGGGTAATAGAAATGTTCTAAAATTGGATGTTGATGACGACTGTACCACTCTTTAAATTTATTAAAAATAACTGAATTGTAAATTTTAACTTAAAATGAGTGAATTTTACGGTATACAAATCATACCTTGATAAAGCTGTTTAAAAAAACCTAACATTTTCTGAGTTTTGGTGCAGTATCAGAGAAAAATATCCACAACTATTTAAAATTATCTTAAAACATTATACTCTTTTCTAACTATGCTTCTATGGGAGGCCGGAGTTTCTTCACAGACTTCAATATATTATATTGGAACAGATACCAGCTATCTTCTATTAAGCCAGTTTTATCATGTCTTATTAAGACATCTGCAAAAATACCGACAATGCAACTTCTCATTTTTTTGTTTGGGAAAATACAGTTAATTTTTCACAAAAAATGTTAACATATAACAGGTCTACTATTGTTATTTTTAAATGAATTAATAAACACTGGTAGATATAACCCACGTAAACATAAGCTCTTTGGGGTCCTCAATAAATTTTTAGAGTACAAGGAGGTCCTGAAACCAGAAAGTTTGAGAACCGCTTCTGTACAACCAAGTCTTTTAGCCTCTAACCTGAAATGTCCCCGAAGCACCTTTGCCAGTTATTTGCTCTAACTGGCCTCTCTCTACTGCTCTCTGCAGAGCGTTCTTCAACAGCTGAGGCCTGCAGAGAAAAACAAAAAAGTAGAGATAAATATGTCAGTGAAGGAAAAATTTTAAAAAATAGATCTAGGGCTATTCCCAGATCTAAAGTTTTATTAACATCGATTTCTATTAATGTAGTACTTTGTTAAAATGAACAATAAAGTAATTAACACGTTGCTAGCACTCTCAACAAGTGGCACTTTTTTTTTCAAGCAAAGAAGCTGTTATTACATGTACAATTTATATAATATAGAAATAATTTCCAAATTGCCAGGGCACTCTGAAATCCTATCAGCTACTATCATCTGATTGCAACAGTGACCAAACCAAACCACATAATCAATCATCCAACTCTGGAATTCTGAGGCAAAATTTCCAGATTTTTTTTAAGTACGTACACATTTAACAAAAAACAAACTGAGTCACTTTTTGCAAACCAGTACCTAAAGTCAGCCTAATAAAATACAATTCCCTGAGAAGGAAAATAGGTCGCTATCTAAAAGGGTTATAAGCTTAAAAACAAAAACAAAAAAAGTTATCAAAACCAAAAGGCAGGCAAGAAGTTGAATATCATTAAATATATCTGAACAAAGTGTTGAAACACAGCTATTCTATCAGGCAGCTATTCTATCTGGATGATGAGTGGGGAACCACTGGTAGAGGGAAAAATAAATTAAGGTGACTAAGGGCTAAAGGGGGACTGTGGCGCAGAAAAAGAAGACAGAGTCAAACGCAAAGCTATATATCCAGGCTGACAACAGGACATCTGAAGAGAAATGTTAATCATAATTCAGCAATGGGTTATGTTTTGTCACACCTCTCAGGACTTACTAGCACCCAATGGGCAGAATATCATGAGACTCGTTTGAAACTAGTTAGCTGATAGGTAGACAGAAAATTTCAGCAGGGCAGCCCCACTGACGGGCAGAACAAAGCTTTTATCATTTGAGGTGCTTTACTGCGCTTTGATATTTTCTGTGGGGAAGAAATTTTTAATCTTTTATTTAACCACTGAGCATTACAGGCTGAGATGACACTAAAGTTGATGATTACATCTTCCATATGCTGGGAGAGGAAGAGTGGAGAGAATCCCATGTTCCAACAGGATGCTAGAGAATAGGCACTAATCTATCAAATCTTGCACATCCCTAACACTCCAAATGAAGAAATTCCCAACTTAAAAAAACTACCAATTAAAATATTCCTAAATCAGTACTATTCCATTCAGGACTAATGAGATTTATGTCATGACCCAAAACACACACACACACCATTCATTTCACAAACATTTACTGAATATTTATTATGATTAATGGAAGAATAAACACAAAGATCTGGTCCCTAAACTCAAGGAATTTAAGAGATGATGAACACATAAATAAATACAGTAGAGAACAATATAGACCAAGCTTGAAGTATGTGTATAGAGCTTTGGGAGCACAGCTGAGTGAGTGACTTAACTGTGTCAAATAACTTCTCAATTAGTTGTTACATAAGATTGCTTATAGGCTGTTTTTCCTGATTTCGAATGGGAGAAACAAAAAAGATCACATTAGCTTAAGTAAAACACTAAAACCCAAGATGCATTTATCCAATTAAATAACTGGTCCAAGAACAATCTTCTTTACCAAGGTTCAAATGCTCCAGGAACGAACATCAGTTAAACTGGTTCTTTTCTTAACATTTCTGTTTTGGTAGTGATACCCACCCTTACTCCAGCATAAACCTTGTCATGGGCTTTTAGAAACCTTAGAGTTCTACCACTCACTCCCATCTCCCCGTAAAACTATACTTACCAACTGCTTGAAAGCTTCTCAGATTGGTCCTTTCTCTCCAATCATTGCCACAGCCTTGCTACAAAGCCACTATTCCCTTTCTTCTGGGCACCGCGCTGCTTCTGTTTTCACAGTGCACACCACTATTAGGTCAATAATCCTACACAGTCCCCTTTATTATGTTACTTAACTGACCAGGTCTCAGGTCTAATACCTCAACACAGCTTCGAAGCCTTCCATGACATGGTCCTACCCCTTGCTAGTCTAGACTCAAGTCAGAGACAGGCTTCTCTTGCTCGGTTACCAAATGAGAATGCCAACTCCTGCCTCTGCAGATTTTCTCATGAAGCTCGTTTGAGAATACCTTCCCCACTCTGTCAACTCAGCCAAATTCCAGACCTATTCAATTCTCATCCCTTTAATTTACTAACTCCCAGACACAGCTCTTTTTCCTGAAAAATTCAATTGTACTTACAGTCTATATCACACTACTTTGCACTTACTATGTTATTAAGGGCTGTTCTAAATACTTTACACGTGAAGACTAAACAAGATAATACAACAATTTTAAGAAGTATGTACTGTTATTGGCCCTACTTTACAGATGGGGGAAAGTGACAGAAAAATTAAGTGATTTCTTCACACAGCTAGGCAATGGAAGAACCAGGCTACAAATTCAGGCAGTTTGATTCCATATTCTGCATTCTTATTCACTATGCTATGCATACTCCTTCCAATGTAAAACAACCCTGAACAGTAGGGACAAGAAGTGAGCAACTAACAGATGGAATAAAGTGCTGGCTTCACTGGTGAAAAGCCAGGTAACCTGGGATAGGCTTTTATCAGCAAAACTGGGGTAGGAAAATATATTCTTAAGTCTATTTTGAGAATTATAGGTAACAATGTAAACAACAGTATTTTGTAAAGACCTATACAAATTCAAGGAAGTATTATTATTCTACCAACTTAAAAAGAATAAGACAGTGATTAGACCAGTTTAATTAGAAAGGAGGGAAAAACTGAGTGATAAAGTTAGGTGTTAGGATGCTGATGACCATGTTCTCCATCTGTGTCCAAAGTCAGTATGCAATGAGAGAAAAATAAAAGCTATGTACTGAAAGAACCAGAGGTGAGGTACAGAGAACAAACTGCAACTGTCAGTAGCAAGGGTGCCGTGTGGTTTTAAACAAGAGATGTGTACATCAGTTCGTTACAAATGCACAGATGGAATTAAGATGATCAGGAAACTCTTGAAATTACTCAAGAGCTGAAACTGTTAAGAATCTAAGATGTCTCCAAATCAGCATGTGTAGAGAAAAGTATATGGTATAAAACTGAACCTTGGGGCATATGTCCACTTTCTGACATGGTAGAAAGAGAAAAATCAAAGAGAATATGATGAACCTACACCTTACACAAGGGTTAGATTTTAAGATTTGATTTCTAATGCTATACAGGCAGAATTACTCTTGAACATTTCTAAAGGCAAACCACAGTCTCTATGAAAATACAATATGCCCAGTTTTTCCTCCAGGATTACAAAAAAAAAAACATTGTTATCAAATGAAAAAGGTGACTCGCATTTAGATGAACTGGATGTTATGTTAAAAAAAAAATTGTCTTTAAGCATAAGAATCGTATTTAGTATGACGAGATACTACTGAAAATTATGTTAGTACTGAGACCGATTAATAACACTAATATTCGTTAAGCACTTACTAGGTGCCAAGCCTTATTCTAAGCGGTTAACATGTATTAATAGATTAAACCTAATAACCCTATAAGATACTGTTTAACAGTGAGGAAACTGAGGTACAAAAAGGTAACTTAGCCAAGGATACAAGGCTAGAAAATCACAGAGCCAGGATTTAAGCCTAAGTGGTATGGTCCCAAAGCCTGTGCTCTTAGCCATAATGCTCTACTCTCTAGTATATGGAAGCAGGTATGATTGCTGTCTCATCCCACATGCTCCAGCGCATATGCTCCTTGATTGGAATGGCCAGAAGCACTCATACTTTATTCATCTATTCTTTCAACTAATCTTTATCAAGCAGCTACTGTGTGCTATGCAGCCTTCTGGTAGCTAGTGGTTAAGAGCTCAGCAGCTAACCTAAAGGTCAGCAGTTCAAATCCACCAGCCAGCTGCACCTTGAAAACTCTATGGGGCAGTTCTACTCTGTCCTCTAGGGTTGCTATGAGTCGGAATCGACTCGACAGCAACAGGTTTTTTGGTTTTGGTGTGCTATGCACACAGCAGTGTGCCTAATGGGGAAACAACAGTGAACAATAAAGACAAAAATCCTGGTCTTGAGGAATCTGACTTTCTAATAGGGTAGACAGAGAATTTTTAAAAAGCAAATAATGTATATAATATGTTAGAGTATGATGAATTCTATGGTGAAAAACAAGTTAGAGTAGCAGGATTCAGTGCTGGGCGAGAGGGGAGAGGTTGCAATTGAAATTTAGGTGGTCATACCAACCAAACACTATGTGTGGGCCATGTCTGGAGATTGACTCGAATAATTCAACTGTAAAAAGTCATTTTGGAGACAACTGGGAACATCTGAACATAGACTAAACTTAGATAAATAAGGAATTTTGTTTATTTTTGTTAGAAGTGATGTGAGTATGATGGCTATGTTCTGTCTGCTTTTTGCATATGCTTGAAAATGTCCAAAATTAAAATTAAAAAACAAACAAACAAAAAACAATTAGGCAGTCAAGGCAAACCTGTGGTGGTGAGAATGGTATAAAAACCTGAAGGAAGTGAAAGAATGAACAAAATGGATTATGGAGGAAGAACCATCCAGGCAGAGGGAATAGCAAGCATAAAGGCTCTGACGCCAAACCCACTGCCATCGAGTCGATTCCGACTCATAACGACCCTACACGACACAGGAGAACTGCTCCGTAGGGTTTTTCCAAGGCTGTATGTAAATCCTTACAGAAGCAGACTGCCACATCTTTCTCCGCGGAGTGGCTGGTGGGTTCAAACCACCGCCCTATTGGTTAGCAGCAAAGCACTTAATCATTGTGCCACCAAAGGCTCAGATAGTGTAGCGCCTTGTAGGCTGTTTTAAAGACTCTGAGGGGGTTGGGGAAGCCACAAAAGGACAAATGTTGTATGAGACCACTATTATAAAAACCCAAGAAAAGGTTTATACACAGGAAGAAACGTTCTCTGATGGTTACCAGGGATGGGAGGAGGAGGGAGGGGAACTCACTCACTAGAAAGCAGGTATGTGTTAACCTGGGTGAAGGGAAAGGCAATACACAATATGGGGGAAGTCAGCACAACCTGACCGAGGCAAGGGAAGACACTGAGAGGTACATAAGAATAAAAAGCAATTACAGTAAATATGATAACATCTACAATCCTTCAACAACAGTAATAACAAACAATGATTTATGAGTGGATACACAGGTAGATATGCATCTGGAATAGGTGGGGGAGAGCAAATGGAGTATACCCAAGTGCATATACGTTTGACTATAGATATTTCTACATACGTATTCATGTGTGCTGTATGTATATTCATATATACAGTAAAGTATACAAGGGGCATAGCCCTGGAAACCTCCTAGACATAATCAAACACCTCATGGGACTGAATTACTGGGTTTGAAGGCTAGGGACCATTGTTTTGGGGGACATCCAAGTCAACTGGCTTAACACAGCTCATTAAGATAATGTTTTACATTCTACTTAAGTGAGCAGTGACTTGCGTCTTAAAAGCTTGCAAGTGGCCATCTAAGATACAACTACTGGTCTCTCTCTGTCCGGAGCAAAGGAAAGTGAAGAAAACCAAGGACTCAAGGAAGCAATTAGTCCAAAGGACTAATGGACCACAGGAACCACAGCCTCCACTAGGCTGAGACCAGAAGAACTAGATGGTGCCCGACTACCACTACCAATCACTCTGACTGGGATCACAACAGAATGTCCTGCTTAGAGTGGGGAAAAAAAAGTAAAACAAAATTCAAATTCATAAAAAACACCAGACCTACTGGTCTGAGAGAGACTGGAGGAACCCTCAAGACTATAGACCTAGATAACCTTCTAACTTGGAACTGAAGCCCCTCTCAGAGATCACCTTTAAGCCCAACAACAAACAGGCCTATAAAATAAACAATAACACCCACGAGTAAAGTGTTCCTTAGAACAATCATCTATATGAGACAAAAAGGACAACACTGGCCCAAAACCAAAGATGAGAAGGCAGGAAGGGGCAGGAAAACCGGATGAATGGAAAGGGGGACCTCAGAGTGGTACTGGGGAGAGTGCTAACACACTGCAGGGATTGCAACCAATATCACAGAACAATCTGTGTACAAATTATTGAATGGGAAACTAGTTTGCTCTGTAAACCTTCACTTAAAGCACAAAAAGAAGTCAAATGATGTACTGCACTGGGTAAAGTATGGCCAAAAGACCTCTTTAAAAAAGTGTTAAAAAGTCGAATAGATATACGCATACCCGTGTTCATTGCAGCACTGTTCACAACAGCAAAAAGACGGAAACAACCTAGGTGCCCATCAATAGACAAATGGATAAACAAATTATGGTACGTTCACACAATGGAATACTATGCAACGATAAAGAACAACGATGAACTCGTAACACATGACATGGAGGAATCTGGAAAGTATTATGCTGAGTGAAATTAATCAGTTGCAAAAGGAAAAATATTGTATGAGACCACTATTATAAGAACTCAAGAAATGGTTTAAACACAGAAGAAAACATTCTTTGATGGTTACAAGGGTGGGGAGGGAAAGTAAGGGTTATTTACTAACTAGATAGTAGATAAGAATTATCTTACATGAAGGGAAGGGCAACACATAATACAGGGGAAGTCAGCACAACTGATCTAAACCAAAAGCTAAGAAGCTTCCCGAAAACAACCAAACACTTTGAGAGACTGAGTAGCAGGGGCGAGCATCTGGGGACCATCATTTCAGGGGACATCTAGGTCAACTGGCATAACAAAGTTATTAAGAAAATGTTTGGTGAGTGGCATCTGGGGTCTTAAAAGCTAGCAAGCAGCCATCTAAGATGCATCAATTGGTCCCAACCCACCTGGTGCAAAGAATAAGAACACCAAAAACACGAGGAAGATATTAGTTAAACAGACAGAAACAGCCACATAAACCAGAGACTCCATCAGCCTGAGACCATAAGAACTAGAAGGTGCCCAGCTACCACCAATGACTGCTGTGACAGGGAATACAACAGAGTCCTTGACAGAGCAGAAGAAAAGCGGGGCGCAGAACTCAAACTCTAGTAAAAAGACCAGACTTAATCGTCTGAGACTAGAGGAACCCCGAAAGACACGGCCCCCGGACTGTTAGCCCAGAACTGACACCATTCCCAAAGCCAACTCTTCAGACATAGACTAGACTGGACTGTAAGACATAAAATGATACTTGTGAAGAGAGTGCTTCTTAGCTCAACTATATACATGAGACTAAATGGGCAGCTCCTGTCCGGAGGCAAGATGAGAAGGCACAGAGGTCAGGAGCTGGTTGAACGGACACGGGAAATCCGGGGTGGAAAGGAGGAGTGTGCTGTCACACTATAGGGAGAGCAACTAGGGTCACAAAATAATGTGTGTATGAATTTTTGTATGAGAAACTAACTTGAACTGTAAACTTTCACTTAAAGCACAATTTAAAAAAAAAAAATGTTAAAAAGCAAAGATGACACTTTGATGACTAAGGTGTGCCTAACCCATGCTGTGGTATTTTTAACTGCCTCATATGCACGTGAAAGCCAGACAATGAAAAAAGAAGACCAAAGACTTGACCCATTAGAATTGTGGTGCTGGCAAAGAATATTGAATATGCCATGGACTGCCAGAAGAATGAATAAATTAGTCTTGGAGGAAGCACAGCCAGGGGCTCCTTAGAAGCTAGAACACAGAAACTTCCTCTCACTTACTTTGGACATATCATCAAGAGATACCAATTACTAGAGAAGGACAACATGCTTGGTAAAGTAAAGGGTAAGCAAAAAAGGAGACCCTCAATGAGATGGACTGACACAGTGGCTGCAACAATAGGCTCAAACACAGCAACGATTGTGAGGATGCCACAGGACTGGGCAATATTTTGATTTTTTATGCATAGGGTTGCTATGTGTAACAAGCCGACTTGATGGCACCTAACAACAAAATAGCTGGATTTTCATGTTAAATGTGTGGATGACAGAACTCCACTACAGTCAAAGGTGGAGGAAATCAATATGGTTTCACAAAAATAAAGGGAAAAAAAGAATCATGGGAAAACATCTTCAGGTTCAGTAGCATCTTCGGGTTGACAACCTATTATCAGGCAAATTTTGTTTCAACATAAGATAGTGATGGGGAATGCTTCACAAGACTAAACATGGAAAGAAGTAATACTGGTAGCAACACACTGTATTACGTAAGAAGAGTAGAACCATTAGGAAAAAAAAAGGGCTGAGGGAACACAGATCTCCAGTCACCAAAAAGTAGAGAGTATAGGGAGAGAAAAGGGAAATGTGTTTCTATCTTTAAGTGCACCATACAAATGCGTTCCTGATCCAGATGCAACTGTGGCAACTACCACTATACTAAGCGCACAAGAAGCATGGAAATGAATTTCAGATTTTCTACTTCTATGATTCCGTTTTCTTTTGCACTATTTTACTAACTCTTTTATTTGGCACTTTGAATACCACCAAGTGTTCTTCTGAAAATGTGACTTCTGGGCTGACATCTCAGCAACTCTAACTGTATTCTGTAGGAATACAAGTAAATGTTTGTACTAAACTATATTAGAACAGTGTGCATTACATATAGTTATTTCTGTAGAAAGAACTCTGGATTAAACACAAATTCCCAAAATTCATTACAATGAAGATCTTACAAAAACATACTCAAAATACAAATTCTGTGAATTACAAATTTGAACAAATTAATACACCTGCATGATTTCACAAATGAGCACGTGACAATCTAAATATGATCAGTCAAGATGTTTTTAAGTGGCAATTTTTACAAATGAATTACTATCAAAATTCTTTCAGAATTTTATATTCCAGGCAGTCCCCAGGTTATATCTGACTTACGTACAACCCCCAGTTACAAACCAACCCTCGTAAAGCCTGTTACATGAAAAATTAGGAGGTACACACAGCGGTTTGTAACAACAAATGGGTGCTACTTTATGACATGCATCAAAACACTATTATTATTACTGTATTATGTTAATGATGCTTTAGTGTACCTAGAAGTGTTTAATGTTTTTTACACACAAAAAGTACACTATACACTAAGACAAACATTTGATTAACTGACATTAGATATGAACTGTACCTTACTGTTCTCAATTATGTACAAATTCCACTTAAAGACAGACTTAGGAATGCAACTCATTCGTAATCCAGGGACTGCCTGTATATGTTTAAATGATGCCGCTACTATGCTATTTATATGTAAACATGTTATAGAAGCTTGAATTCTCTTGTGTTCTCAGCCATAACTCTAAATAAAAATTAATGAGCATCTGGGAGGACACAGTGTTCAACAATGAATATTTTAGCAGCTGACAAAAATCAAGAGTTCTTCTATCAGGGTCCTATAAAAGAATATGTGGTTTGAGCTTCAAAAGGAAATTACATATGGAGATATAAAAAAGGAAAACATAATGGAATTAAAAAATAAAACCCATAAAAGCTTTTATTCCAATTAGCTGAAAGTAATCCCTCTGGAATATTTTATCCTTCTCCCTTTTCATGAAAAAAGGCTAGGGAAATTATAGCTCTTCAAGCCTAGTAAACAGAAGCCTATGTATTTTAAAATCCAAGCCAATGGCTCCTACCTGATGTCCACTCTAAGTTTAGGATAATACTGAGACACATATTTTCTGATGAGACTGTAGGAAGCTTCTTTAGGTTCACAAAGGCGAGTAAAGGCCAGTGGGAGGATATCCTCCAACTTTACTTGTGGTTCTGGATCTACTGCAGGAGTCTTCTTCTGAAACGCAGTATCAAAAATTATCATTACGGAATATAGAGCTTTCTCTTCAAAAGCTTCTAAATACAACTCAAAGGCTTTACAAATCTGTATTTCAAATTCTGAAAAACTTACACTGCATTTCTCTTTGTTGAAGACTTATTGCTCAGTTGATCACCAAATTAACTGGCTAACAGAAAACTATCAGTTCTTTGCACACAGCCAAACAAAGCATACCACAGTGGTGTAATATCACCTGTATGACAATTTCTTGGAGACAAAAATCTCTACATTGACTGAAAGAGTTAAAAGTACATGTATAAGTAGAAAGGCATGGTGTACTTTAAAGATCTTAATTCTCTGACTTCCATAACAAAGAACAACAAGGATTATGTAGTACTAGAAACCAATGCACAAAAGCTCATTTTGGAAGTGTTTGCAAGTTCTGTGAAAAAAGTGCAAAAATCTTCAGAGTTGTAAAAACAAAGATGTAGAAGAATATTCATGATTTCAATTGCTGACATACATAAAATACTAGGTATTTCATTATATTATGCAGAAATACTTTACATAAATGGAATTATGTGTCTTGGAAAGGGGAGTGTTAATATTTACAAAAAGAGAAGAAAAACTGTCCTGGACCAAAACTGTTTTGGGGTCTTGTATTGGATAAATGTACTTGCATGCCTCCTGTAGTTTACATAAAATGCAGTGTAATTCATATACCAAACCAAAAACTTGCCGCCATGAAGTCAATTCGGACTCATGGTGACCCCCTGTGTTTCAGAGTAGAACCACTGTGCATACGGTTTTCAATGGATGTGACCTTTCAGAAGTAGATCAGCAGGCCTTTCTTCCATGCTGCCGCTGGGCAGGTTCAAACTGCTAACTTTTTGGTTAGCAGCCAACTGTTTTAACTGTTTGCACCACTTGGGGACTCCTACTACATTCCACTCTCTAGGTGGCTGATAATAAGCAAATTAGGGTGGCTATGAGTTGGAACTGACCTGACGGCACCAAACAACAAACAACAATAAATGGCTGATAATAAGCAAATTACTTATAATCTTTGTAGACCTTAGTTTCTTCTTCTATAAAAAAGATGTAATGCTAAGTCAGACCCTAAGAAAGGCTGTACTTTGTACACTGTCTGGCACACAGTGAACACTCAATAAAGGTTGTTTCTTTTCTTTTAGTAGTAACAGTATTGTGGAGCCCTGGTAGTGCAATAGATAAGTGATATGGCTTCTAATCAAAAGGCTGGCAGTTCACATCCACCAGGCGCTCCTTGGAAACCCTATGCGGCAGTTCTACACTGTCCTCTAGGGTCGCTGTGGGTTGGAATCGACTCAGTGGCAATGGGTTTGGTTTTTTTTTAATAGTATTATAGTGCTCAACTGAATTGTAGCACAGTCTTCTCACCTTCCTGTTGCTGGATTTCTGAGGTGTTCTTCTTGATTTCTGAACCACAACAAAACTCCCAGAAGCACCTTTTCCTTTTACCTATAATAAAAATTAATTTTAATTGCAATAACCAACATTTTTTTAAAAAAATTATTCTGGTATTCGTATTTAAACTTTACACTAGACTAACGAGATCACAGAAAATGGTAATCCAAGAACTAACATCAAGTACTGTTTGACACTTCAGAGAAAAAAGAATAGTGGATGAGGAGTCAAAAGGCTTGGGACTAAACTTCATGGTACCATCCAGCTATTCAATACTGGGCAACCCAGTTAATTCTTTGAGCTTTTGCTGCCTCACCTACCAAACTGAGGAAGAATGCTATTATGACACCAGGTTAAATAGTCTACTACAAGCTTTCAAAAAAAAAAAAGTCCCACAGCATCCCAGTTAATTGGCCTAATAACGTGTTTACTGCTTCTGTTCTACCTCCTAGTTGGTTGTGTAGTGCCTGGGGTCTTAAAAGCTTGCAAGTGGCCATCCAAGGAAAAACAACTGGTCGCTGTTCACTTGAGGTAGAAGAAGAGTCAGGAATAGGAGGATATGGAATGTGTAGCTAACTGCCTCCAGGAACAACAACTGTCTCCTTTGCCAACAGACCAGAAGAAGTGTATGGTGCCGCCTGGCTACCACTGCTGCATGTTTTTGATCAAGATTCTACAGAAGAATCCTGATCAAAAGGGGGGAAATGGAGACTAGAATTTCAAATTCTCATGGGCTCCAGGACCCACAAAACTACTGCCCTGAGATAATCTTTAAACCTTAAACCAAAAATATCCCCGAAGTCTTCTTAAAACCAAACAATAGTTTAGCTGAGGTAGTAAAAAAGGTCTGTCTTTAGATACTCATGAAGAGTGTGCTTCTTAGCTCAAGTAGATACATGAGACTAAACAGGCAGCTTCTGTCCAGAGGCGAGATGAGAAGGCAGAGAGGGTCAGAAGCTGGTTGAATGGACATGGGAAATCAGGGGTAGAAAGGAGGAGAGTGCTGTCACAGTATACGGAGAACAACTAGGGTCACATAACAAGGTATGTATAAATTTTTGTATGAGAGACTAACCTGAATTGTGAACTTTCACTTAAAGTACAACAATAAAAAAATAAATAAATAAAGGTCTGCCTTAAGCATTATGTTCTTTTAAGAATTAACTATAAGGGATCAAACTGACAACAGAAACTCAAAAGATCAGATAGGAAGCTTAGGGGGCAGTGAGTTTGTTAATGGGGGAGGACAACTCAGAAAAGGAGGGTGAGAATGGTTGCACACGACTTGAAGAATGTAATCAATGTCACTAAACTGTACATGTACAAACTGTTGAATCAGTGTATTTTTTTAATTTTGTTGTGTTTTAAGTGAAAGTTTACCGTGCAAATTAGTTTCTCATTCAAAAATTTATACACAAATTGTTTTGTGATATTGGTTGCAATCCCCACAATGAGTCAGCACTCTCCCCATCTTAGTTACCTAGTGCTGCTGTAACAGCAATACCACAAGTGGATGGTTTCAACAAACAGAAATTTATTCTCTCACAGTCTAGTAGGCCTGAATTTAGGGCACCAGCTCCAGGGGAAAGCTTTCTCTCTCTGTCAACTCTGGAGCAAGGTCCTTGTCATCAATCCTCCCCTGGCCTAGGAACTTCTCAGCACAGGAAACCTGCGTCCAAATGACATGCTCTGCTTCTGGCACCGCTTTCTTGATGGTATGAGGTCCCCCTTTATCTCTCTGCACGCTTCTCCCTTTTATATCTCAAAAGAGGCTGACTTAAGACACAATCTAATCTGGTAGATTAAGTCCTGCCTCGTTAATGTAACTGCCTCTAATTCTGCCTCATTAACATCATAGAGATAGGATTTACAACACATAGAAAAATCACATGACAAAATGGTGGACAATCACACAATAATGCGAATCATGACCTACCCAAGTTGACACACACTTTAGGGGGACACAATTCAATCCATAACACCCTTTTTCCCTTTACACCTCGGTTCTCCATGTCCATTCATTTTTTTGTCCCTGCGTTCTCATCTTTGCTTTTGGGCAGGTGTTGCCCATTTGGTCACCTATACTTGACTGAATTAAGAAGCACACTCCTCACGTGTGTTGTTTGTTTTATAGACCTGTCTAATCTTTGGCTGAAAGGTGGATTTCAGAAGTGGCTTCAGTTCTGAGTTAGCAGGGTGTCTGGGGGCCACAGTCTCGGGGTTCCTCCAGTCTCTATCAGACCAGTAAGTCAGGTCTTGGTGAATTTGATTTTTGTTCTGTATTCTTCTCCTGCTCTGTCTAGAACCCTCTACTATGATCCCTGTCAGAGCTGTCCGTGGTGGTGTGGTGGTAGCCAGGCACTATCTAGTTCTGGGCTCAGGCTAGTGGAGGCTATGGCTCATGTGGTCCATTAGTCCTTTTGGACGGATATTTTCCTCCTGTCTTTGGTTTTACTCCTTCGCTCTGAATGTGATGGGACCAACAGATTTCAGATGGCCACTCTCACGTTTTTAAGACCCCAGACGCTACTCACCAAAGTAGGATGTAGAACATTTTATGAACTATGTTAGGCCAATTGATCTACATGTCCCTCAAGACCATGGTCTCCAGCCCTCAGACCCAGTAACTTGGTCCCTCAAGGTGTCTGGATGTATCTAGCAAGCTTCTACGGCTTTGCCTTGGTCAAACTGTGCTGTCTTCCCCTATATTGTGTCGTCTTTCCTTTCACCAAAGTTAACACATGTCTGTTATCTAGTTACCGATTTTTCCCTCCTCATCGCTCCCCTCCCTCATAACCTCCAAAGATTGTTTTTTTCTGTATGTAAGGCTTTTCTTGGTTTTTTATAATAGTGGTCTCATACTTTTGTCCTTTTGTGACTGACTTATTTCACTCAGCATAATGCCCTCCAGATTCATGCTGTGAGATGCTTTGTAGATTCATCATTGTTTTTTTTCTGTTCCATAAATTCTTTTTTTTTTTTAAATTGTACTTTAGATGAAGGTTTAGAAATTAGTTTCTCACTAAACTACTAATATACATATTGTTTTGTGACACTGGTTGCCAACCCCATGACATGTCAACACCTTCCCCTTCTAGACCTTGGGTTCCCTGTCACCAGCTTTCCTGTCCCCTCCTGCCTTCTAATCCTTGCCCCTGGGGTGGTCTGTCCATTTAGTCTCATTTTGTTTTATGGGACCAGTGGAGAATTTTAGATGGCCACTCATGAGCTTTTAAGACTCTGGACACTACTCACAAAAGCAGGATATAGAACTTTTTTTAAATAAACTATGTTATGCCAATTGAGCTAGATGTCCCCCAAGACCATGGTCACCAGCCCTCAGACCAGTAATTCAGTCTCTCAGGGAGTTTGGATGTGTCTACGAAGCTTCCATGACCTTGCCTTGGTCAAGCTGTGCTGACCTCCCCAGTATTGCATACGGTCTTACCCTTCGCCAAAGTTACCACTTATCTTTTGTCTAGTTACTGTTTTTCCCTCCTCGCCCCTCCCCTCTCTCCAGTAACCATCAAAGATAGTTTCTTTCTGTGTGTAAACCTTTATGTGAGTTTTTATAATAGTGGTCTCATACAGTATTTGTCCTTTTGTGACTGACTTATTTTACTCAGCATAATGTCCTACAGATTCAGCCATGGTGTGAGATGTTTTGCAAATTCAATATTGTTCTTCATTGCTGCATAGTATTCCACTGTGTGTATGTACCATAGTTTATCCATTCATCTGTTGATGGGCACTTAGTTGTTTCCATCCTTTTGCTATTGGGAATAATGATGCAGTGAACATGGGTGTGCACATGTCTATTCACGTGATGGCTCTTATTTCTCTAGGATATACTCCTAGGAGTGGGACTGCTAGATTTTATGGTATTTCTATTCTTAGTTTTTAAGGAAGTGCCATATGGTTTTTCAAAATGGTTGTACCATTTTACATTCCCACCAGCAGTGCATGAGAGTTCCAAGCTCCCTGCAGTCTTTCAACATTTGTTATTTTCTGTTGTTTTTTACTTGTGCCAGTAATGTCAGGGTGAGATGGTATCTCACTGTAGTTCTGACTTGCCCTTCTCTAATGACTAGTGATTCCAAGCATTTCCTCATGTGTCTGTTAGCCGCCTGAATGTATTCTTTGCTGAAGTGTCTGTTCATGTGCTTCGCCTCTTTTTTAAATTGGATTATTTGTCTTTTTGTTGTTGAGGTGTTGAAGTATTCTATAGATTTTAGAGATCAGACCCTTGTCGGTTATGTTGTAGCCAAAAATTTCTTCTCCGTCTGTAGGTTCTCTTTTTACTGTTTTGGTGAAGTCTTTTCATACGTGTAAGTGTTTTTTAGGAGCTCCAAGTTATCTAGTTTATCTTCTGGTGTTTGTGCACTGTTAAGTTATGGTTTGTATTGAATTCATGACAAGTATTAGGGTCCCTAGCATTGTCCTTATATTTTTTTTCCTGATCTTTATTGTTTTAGGGTCTATATTTAGGTCTTTGATGCATTTTGAGTTAGTTTTTGTGTACTATGTGAGGCATGGGTCCTGTGTGAACTAGGAATTGGTGTATGTTCTGCTGCATATATTCTCAACAACAACAAAATAAAAAATGAAACATGAAGAAAAAGAAATGTCCATGGAAGGAAGACACATAATCTTTTAGGGAAACTGAGAAAAACCATAATGTCTTGGAAGAAAGGTAGCTCCTTGGCAAAAATTTACAGCCTAGTTGGTCTCAGACAACTTGTTTTTTTACAGTTTACCAATTACAGATGATTTTTGCTTATGGGAAAGGTTATTTAATAATTTTTTAGACACTGTACATAATGGTATGTCCTATTAGATATTTCTACAATTTACAAAGCACTTTCATACACCTCTGAAGTTGATTCACAACAACCCAAGTCCTCTACTCCTTAGCTTTACCTACACTGCTAAGAACGTAGCACTCAAGAGGAAATGCTTTCAGCCTATTAACTGTTGTTCAAGCATCAAACTGAGGGTCAGCGTATAAGAGAAGGCCACAAACTAAATTTTCATAAAAAAAAACAAAAAGCCAGCCCATAAACTTGGCTGACATAGATCATGATATAAGATGGATCTTTGGCTCTAATAATTACATTGGCTAAGTAACATCTTTTAAACAATCATCATTTTAAAGACTATTTAAATATGCCTTTTACAACACTCTGAAAAAAGTAAAGTATAAGTCTCACACAGTAGGGATCTCTAATTTATTCACTGATGGGCCAGAAGCCTGGCACATAGAAGACAGTCAATATACTTCTGTGAATTAAATATTTGTTGAAAGTTCCTAAAAAGAGTTTAAATGCTTGAATGGCACAGAACTCTGTATTAATAAACAGTGCAGCCAGGTATAGAAGAAAGGCAATAAGACTCTAGGAGTGTTGTGAGCTAGGTTCTTGGAACCATCTTTGCCACTGCCATGCGGCCTTGGTAGTTATTTCATCACTCTGGATCTCTAAAGAGTGTTAGGTAAGGCCCCTGCCAGCTTTAGGTTTCTATGATTCTAAGCAATGCTTTGATGCACTATGCAAAGTAACATGGATTTATGCTTGAAATTGATATTGGTATCATATTAGTCTCAATTCACTAAGGCTTCTCTGACACTCGTAATAGGCTATAATAGTTTTAGATACTAACAAGTTAAGATGAACCTATTTACACAGCTAATTTATAATGGTTAACAAGTCTACTCATGTAAGTTAGGCTTTAAAGCTAACAAACCTAAGATAGGAGCAATTACCCTTTCTGCTGTTACAACAGTAGGATTCCTTAAATCTAATTTCTCACCTTCAGCACTGTATGTTCTCAAGCACAAGCAGTCCCCAAAGAGAATTCAATTAAGAGTATAAGAAGCTAGAAAAAATTATACTATCCAGCCTATTATTTCTGATCGCTAAAAGAACAGTAACTGGCACCAGTGTTTTAGAAACCTATTCTCAGATAAGAAAACTAGGTTTAGCTTAAGCATCTCATCATCACGTAACTTGTTTTTAACGAGACAGACATAAAAAACCTAAATTTTACCAAATACGGACTTATACATAATGAAATGATCTTATTATCACAGTAAACAACTGTTTGATACCTGTTTGATGACTCCTCTATTTAATTCTCTTTTCAGTGCTTGTTTAAGGAGATAGCCCCTTCTCTCCAGCTCCAGAGAAGGGTACTTATGGATAATATATTTTCGAATAGCAACCACTGATGCACCACTCTTCTGGAAGCATGCCTAGAAAACAGATTTATCAAGCCATACACATTACTTTAAATTAGTTGTTTTTAATTACATACAGAGCCTTACATACATATTTTCAAAAAAACTATTTTGGCAGACTTGACAACTGATGATAGAAATGACAGGAAGAGTAAACAATATTTCAGGTAATGTCAGTTCATAATGGCTGTGGAGAAATACAGAATTATTAAATATTTCCTGCAACGATTAATTTTAAATTGTTTAAAACTAAAGAGACCGTGCAACATGTGAACAACATTCTATGTGTTAATGAAGAACCTCTTCCCATTTTAACTCTAGTCAATACTTAGAAGATAGATCTTTAACATCAAAATGAGGAAAGCAGAAGTTTCTATCATTTGTAGGATCACAGATCTGGGCCATTTTATGCTATGAGCTTTGGCACACCCAGACAAGCATCTCACTGCAGGCTCTGTGTGGATGTCAGCAGAGAGAACAAGCAAAGATAATCCAAATAAATGGCATAAAACTGGATTCAGAGATGACAACGACTTAAGAGGGAAGGTGCGTAACAATGAGAGCATTTTATTGGAATTTAAAGAGCCCTTTTCCATTTCTAGGAATCCTGGTAGCACAGTGGTTAAGCACACAGCTGCTAACCAAAAGTTCAGCAGTTCTAATCCACCAGCTGCTCCGCAGGAGAAAGACGCGACAGTATGCTTTCGTAAGGAAACCCTATGGAGCAGTTCTACTGTCCTATAGGGTCCCTATAAGTTGGAATCAACTTGATGGCAATGGGTTTGGTTTTATTTTTTCCCCTTTTCCATTTATTTATCTATACTCCATTTGACTAATGCTAATGGAAGACTTAAATAGCTTATTCATGTCACAAAGGCAGCAAATGTTACTTTTTTCCAAATGTTTTAAATTTTGAAGAACATAAAAGTAGCCATCTGTTATTTATCTAAATGGGCTAGTCCACCAATTTTGTAGTGCCATTATTTATAAACTCAATGTAGCACCTACTCACTCTCATTGAATGTTACTTTATATACTTGAACAACAAAGAAAAATAATACACAGGTAGATGGGCCAGAACAGAGTGTGTAACACAAAACAAGCTGGGTGACCGAATTCAAGTAAATGTCTCTGAACTATTTCAACCCACTGAAATTTATTCCTGACCTTATAAGAAAACAGAAAGCAAAATGAGCCGAGCAGAAAAGAATACTCTAATGCCTAAACAAATAATTCCTTGCTCCCTCAAACTGATAATGAGATGGAAGTAGACAGCAGGACTCCTGTTTGATATAAAATATGGTATCAGTGACCTGAAATCATGACTTGTTATACTGCATGGAACATACGTTTTATATAGATATTTTTTGTACAAATATGCACAACTGTAATAAACTATTCTTTAGGTCTAATTTATACTGTCTTAATTTTTTGTTTTACTGTTTAAAAATTTTAGTTCCTTCTCTGTCCTCACTGTAACACTGTTCCCTCAAACTCACTAAAAAATCACTTAGTGATCATGAAGTGAAATCCTTGAAGAAAGGCTACAAAAAAAATAGACATCTCACTACAGTCAAGCTATCTAGACCAAGAGAATTTCCTTAATGAGGTGAGAGGATAAGAAATCATGAAGGAGTGAATAGGGAAGTCTGAAGGCAAACCTTTTTTCCAATTTACGTGCCAGTGCTGACTTCTCAAATTCTGAAGATGACAACCAGGCTGCTCTTTCTATTTATACCACACTTGGTTAATGATGCATATCCCTGTCTCCCCGATCCTGACTCAGACCCAGTGACAGAGCCCCAGAGAATCAGGGAGTCTGTGGCTCCTATTTTAACTCTTCTTATCATCTGATAAAGCGGAATAAACAGGGAAATATTAATCAGAAAAAAATACTCAATAAAGGCACGGTCAGATTACAAGACAATCTTAAAAATTAAAGTAAGAAAGCTATATCTGGTGATCACATAAACTAATGAAAGTCACTTAACAGACTACAGCAAGGTTATAAAGATAAGCAAGGAAGATAATTTTCGTAACTATTTTAGAAAGCAAAGTGATGAAGCAAAGTAGTAAAGTTTATAAGAGTGTTTCTTATAGTTCAGGTGTGAAGATAACCACTACCAATGTTAGACAATCAGCTTTAAAAATGGACCTCAGGTTTTTTTTTAAACAAAAATTCTCTATGTTATTCAATTACCTGAATCGCAATTAATAAAAGTCTACAAGGGCAAGTACACTGTCTGTCATACTCTATGCTATACACATGCAGCGCTGCCTGGCATAGAGAAGGTGGTCTTTAAATTTGTTAAATGAATTAACATTTGCAGCCTTTAAAAAACTGTATTAGTATAATAATAGTCTTTAATTACATGTGTATATGTGTGTGTATACATGTGTGTACATATATATGTACATAATTATATTCAATGTCAAAGTCTCAACTAAAAACTGAGTAAAACAAATTTAAAGATAAGCTAAAAATACTTGCTATGGTACATCTGAATTTTTTAAGAAATCAACATTGCTCACCAAATGTTACTGTATTATAAAAATTTGAACCTCACAATGGCATTCTTTTATTTAAGTCTCTTTTAGGAAGCAGAGCATAATGTCTTATATGCAGACAAAAGTATGCCATTTTTAAATATGAAAAAGATGAACAGAATAAATCTAAGATGAAATGCTAGAAATAAAAACTTGCCTTAATGGCCTCAGTTAGGATTGCATCCATCTTGGGACGTGGGGAGGAAGCCATCGGTGTTTGCTTCTGGGCCCTGGCTAGCTGGCTGGCAGAAAGGGTAGCCCAGGAAGGTATTGTTTTTTTCACTTTCTTCTCCTTTTCTTTAGATTGATCTTTCTCACTTTAAAACAAAGAATTGTTACTATGCAAGATAAACTATCCAGAAAGAGTTATAAAGTCAGGAAGAGGAAAAAGACCAGTGAGGGATAAAAATCAATGTTTTAATGTAGGTAATATGACACGAAGGTAATATGTACAATAAGCAAAATTTAACAAAATAAAACAATTGTAAAAAATTGGGTACTATAAATGAACTAAAAAAGTAATTTAAGTGCAGGAGAGAGGAGTCATATAAACTAGCACTGGTATGAAGGCCCAGTACACAAAAGAAAAGAGAATTTAAAAACGTATTCTAGTAACAACTACAACAGAGGCAACTTAGTATGGTGGAAAGAGCTCCAGCTCTAAGTCAGAAGATCTGGGTTTTAGTCTTAGCTTCAACACTTACTAGCTGTATGATCTTAGCAAGGGATCTGAGTCTTAGTCTCCTCGGCTGTAAAATAGTAATAATACCAACTACCTCACAAAGTTGTTGCAATAATTATGAGATTATGTTTATCAAAAGACTGACTTACTACTTCTCCTAGGTAATAATAGCATCACTCCATGTACCTCACAGATGCGATGCACTAGAAGACTTAAATTTCACAGGCCTTTCTTATACCTATGAAACCAGGATAAAGGACTCCCTGAGGATAACACCTAGAAAGTAAAGTTATAACTAAGTTATTCCTTTATTTAAAAAGTAATTCCTAACTCTTCTAAACAATTGTGAAAAAGTGGAATGAATGCTACCAGCTCTCCTGCCCCCCCCCCAAAAAAAAAGAAGATTAAAAAATAATCACCACCACCTTGTATAGCATCAATTGCAAATTTTGCTCTCAGAGTCTCAAAGTCACTCTCTAACTGAATACTTGTCAACATATACAGAGTTTTAGGTCACTCTAGCAATGGCTTGATATAGATGATTGTTTTCTAACGTAAGCACATAAAGTCAATTCACTCCTGGCACAGAGGTTGGAATAAAATCGTGAGGTGTCTCTCGGGTCAGGTTTTTATAGTCATGTCCTACTTCTTATTGAACTTTTGACAATGCTTAAATATCAGACACTCCTACAACAAATTCTAAGTACAAAAACAGTCCAAAGCCAAAAAGAATGATTTTTGGATTATTCAAACCATTGTTTTGCTAACTACTACAAATTCTAAAAGGACACACAACTATATAATCAACCCATTTCAAATGATAACTTTAAAAGGTAAATCCAAACAGCAAATACCTAGCATCAAACCAGTGTTAGAACACTTTAGAACAATCTCATCTATAGTCCTTTTCATAAATAGTAGCAGTCTTTAATTATAAATAGCAAGAAGGCACAACTCCTTACTCCTTTTTGGCTTCCTCAGAAGACTTGCTTTCTCCCTTCTCTTCATTCTCAGGCTCCCCCTTTGGCTGCTCTGTCTCACTAGATGTAGCAGGTGGAGTTTCATTCTCTTGTTCTTCTACAGTGGAGGCGGATTCCTCAGAACTTACATCTGGTTCTAAAAATTGGGTGAACAGAAGTGGATCAAGGAGATACATGAAAGCCGAAGTCAATAAAAGGGTGAAAGTTTGTCTTATTGAAACAGACCAGCCAAATGTTTAAGAAATGAATTCTTAAATGAACAGTTAATGACTTGAGCTCAGTTTTCCTTCATTCTCTGTCACTCAAGTTGTTCAAGTGGTTGTTTATCCAAACTATGTAAGAAAAGGAGATCAACTCATTTTATTCCAAATCAAATTTCTTGATTGTTCTACTCTGCAATATTAATGAGACTCATAACTACGACACCAGCCATTTTATAATTTAACAGACAAATCTTAAGAACTGAATAAATAACAGAAAATTAGCATGTTATTTTTCAAGTCTAATGGCTACAGCAAGAGTAGAAATACGAGAGGGGGAATATCTAAGTCTGTGGTTGTTTTTCCATGCCTTTTTTTCTCAGCATGTCTTTTTGAGCAGCTATTATGAAAGCACAAAACCCCAGCAGTTAAGCAGAGACTTCAAAGAAAAGGACTCCAGTGGTAAAAATTAGGCCAAAAATGAAAGTATATGCTTGAAAAGTCTGGTCATTTAAATTATATGAACTAATTACTGGAATAATGATGAAGCCTTCTTTGTGGTCTTCACACAAATGTCACCTCCTTCTTAGAACAAAACCACAGAAATAAAATAAGGGAATTTCCAGTGTCTCAAGATAAAATTCTAAACCATAAATTTCAGAACGGCCAGCTATAATTTGCAAGTCTCTTCCTAGATTATGTCCTTTAATCACACCTCCATATAAGTCAAAACTCCTCCAGTAACTGTTCAGCCAATAGAGGTTTTCGAATCAGACACACCTGGATTCAAATCTGTCTTCACAATTTTCTAGCTAGATGATCTTAGGGAAAGTTCTTTGACATCTCCAAGTCTCAGTATCCTTACCTCACAGAGATATTATGAGGATTATATAAAATGCTTTAGGGCAAGCCTGTAGATCAGCGAGTGAGTGATTCTTGTTCCTCTTTGGCCTCTTCTGTTGCGTCTAGAACTGTTTCCCATATGCTTAGGATGGCAAAGTAGTAAGGCTAGAACTTCATTATATTGATGGCATTTGGGGATATAAATAATAACTACATTTAGGTTTTCTACAGTAAGATATATTTTATATCCTATCTCTTTTACTGTCTTCCCACGCAACAATTTGACCTTCATTTTACCCTAAATGAGCCCTGGTGGCACAGTGGTTAAAGCGATCAACTGCTAACAGAAAGGTCGGCAAGTTTGAAACCACCAGCAGTTCCGAGGGAGAAAGATGTCACAGTCTGCTTCCAAACAGATTTACAGCCTTGGAAACCCTATGAGGTTGCTGTGAGTTGGAATCAACTTGACAGCAGTGGGTCTGGAGCTACCCTAACTGGCTGCATGGGCTATCAGTTAAGCCTATGCTTATTTATACATTTATACATTGCCTTATTCCAAAAAGGATGAACTAAGAATCATTTACTGGGTTTTACTGTAACAGTAGAGCTATAATATCTCTTTATTTTCTTTTCTCTAGAATAACTGCTGAAGAGTTTATGGCTTGATAAACATTCAGTCACTTGATAGATATTTACTGATTATGCAGTACATGCAAGACATTACTTCTAACTCATTAAACTACTGTGTCTGCCTCTGCGTGAAATCTAGGATTTACAAAATTTAAAACATGAGTGAAATCTCACTGTTTCCATGTATAAAATACTATAATGTACTTACTATATGATCCCTTAAACAACTAATAGGGTAGAGAGAAGATTAAACATATAATTTGTAAACTGACTTACTTTTCTTCTACAGTGTACACCCTTCAAATTTTTATAAATTCTTGGCTGACTTTTCTAATATGTTACATCTGAACACCTCCTCTGTCCTCTGGCATGCTATTAGCAATTAGCAGCTTCAGCTGGCTTTTAAATGTGGCTTAAGATGGGCCACTAAGTGGCTAATCCCAGTGCTGGACAAGATAATCAATCTTCAACTCACAGCATCTATTACTTCTTTATGTGCCAGTTCCCATGTCCCCTAACTGCCATAGGCCAAGGAGCCCAAAATGTGTATAACACTCACCTGAAGATTTTAAAACAAAATCCAGGTTTGGTTGGAAAAGAGTATATGAAAAATCCAAACCTGGTGCCACTGAGTCGATTCCAACTCACAGCGATCCTATAGGACAGAGCAGAACTGCCCCATAGGGTTTCCAAGGAGCAGCTGGTCAATTTGAACTGCTGACCTTCAGTTAGCAGCCAAATACTTAACAACTGTGCCACAGGGCTCCGGAAAAGAGTATATTTACTGAGTAATGATGCCTGCCCTGGTGCAGTAGGGGATACAGGCAGCAAGGGTGCATGTATTTTCTATTCCTAAATTATGTTAGTCAGCAAATACTTGATTCTAACAGCCGTGACCAGGAGAGCACAGCGCGCTCCCCCGGTAAAACCTGAGACAAAAGGCGAAGGACAAGGGAAAAATGGGAAAGGATAAGGAGAGAAACAAAGAGGTCATGAGAAGAAAAAAAGACAGGGAAAAGAAGATGGGGTGAGAGACAGCAAAAAGGAGCACTAGTATTCTAGGTTGCTGGGTCTACATTTCTCTTGGTTCATTATGTTCCCAACTCTGTTTGGCCACTCTTTCCACCAATACCAAAGTTACAGGCCAATATCTGATCACCCATTCACTCCCTTTAAGGCCTCTTGATGATTTCCATTGTCCATACCGAAGGCCAAAGTCGTCCACTAGTTCTCTTTCGGTCCTATCCTCCTCCTCCCACTCTTCCACAGAGCCTCTCTCTCTATGGTACCCTATGCCCAGAATGCTACTCTCTCACTGTACCTGTCCTCACCCCACCATTTTTCTGTTTCTTATTAAAAGAACATGAAATTTTCACCTTCCAAAAATCTTTAGAGACAAGAAGAAATCTTACTTTACCCACTTGGTCTGGCAATGGCAGCTACCACTTCTCTCTTTAGATACTCCCCCAGCATGCTTACATTTAACCATGAAAAAAAGAGCAATTAAGTTCAAGGGGATTTATGGGACATTCTAAATTGGAGGAGAAAACTTTGCCTTTTTAAGTTGTGCTACCGCTTTATTTTACCTGGCTTTTCTTCCTCCCCATCAGCAAGCTTGCGTTTGGGAGGAGTTTCCCGAGTAGAGTTCACAGCTCGACGAATTGGCATGGTGCTATCTTCTACCTTCTAAGAGAAAAGATGGTCACAATCAAATAAACATAAAAATATTCCCTTTTCTCTCTTTCTCAAGGGGCCTAACTGGGTGTCAGAAGATGTAGGAGAATTCTTCAAGTCAACTCCAGGATCCGATGCAATTTACTTTTAACACATTTTTTTTGGAAGTGAAACATGATTTTTAGGAAATACTTTTCAAAATATTTTATTTTAGCCAAAATTTCAAACGGAAACAAATAATTATACCTGATTTGGAATAAATTTAGAAGATTGGAGGCTTTCTCAGGAATTTGAGGGAAAAAGGTAGATGGAAAGAGCTTTGTATTTATTTGATTTTTCAGATTTACAACCCAGGCTCCCCAAAATTGGGGAAGGAACAAGTACCAAGAAGGACCCAGCAGGGCCTGAAGTCAGGGACCGATCCAAGAGTGAGCTTCAAGAATGCATCAGCCCCTACCTCACCTAACTTGTCCGCGTGGATCAGCTGAGCTCCTACTATAAGTGGGAGTGCCTTAGGATGGACGAGTTCACCTTGAGACGTATCAGTCGCCATTTAAAATAATTTCTAGGCTCGAGTACAGGTTACACTCTGAAGCCTCTGCTGTTAACCACAAGGATTTTTCCTAATGGTTTCAGTGTGGTGAAGAGTCAACCTAAAGCACAGAAAAGACCTGGTGTGAAGATTAACAGGAAAAAAACTAAACTAAAACTTCTAAATTTAATATACATCCAAAAGGAAAAAATATAACTATAAAACTTGTAAGTTAAGTGACAGATGACTTGGTCAGTTATTATTAGAAAGATAAAACCACTATCAAAACATTGACTATGTAAAGCAGCGACCAAGACAAACACACAAGCCACAGCAGCTGTTGCATCTTCCACATGAACAAAGGCAACAAGGACAAGAAAGCTCATGAGGAATCCCACCTTTCTGCTGCCATCAGGAACTTAGAAAGAGTAGGAGACTTAGGAACAGTTTACAAAAAATATTTAGTCAAAGATCAGTTTACTAAAGAGAGAAGACTTATTGTTATTGTTCTCAAAGGGGCCAGATAAGTTAACTGTAACCTCAACTCTATCTTCACTAAAGAAGTCATCTGTTTTTCTATTAATGGAAAGTACAAGGGCAAAAACACTGCTGAAAGCAAGACAATCTAAGAGCCTCCAGATCCAGAGAAACAAATCTAGACTGACCCCTAGCAGAACAGAAGTATGCTTCTGTCATGTTTTTAATAAAAGCAAAACTAGTATAGGAGAAAGCACACGATTAAATAGTCAAAGATTAAAACCCATGTAGTCACCCAAATTTACCTAATCGTTATACCTTCTCCCTCTAAAAACCTTATCTGGGACTCAATGACATTTTATAATAAAAAATCCTCAGTATAAGAAAATGACCATTTAAGTGTTTAGATATCTGAACAATTAACAGATAATGAACAATTAACAAAAAAACTGGGGAATAATAGTCATTCATCTTCTACTTTAAGCTCTAACACTGCCTAGGAATGTAAGGGCCTTCAACTTGTCAGGTAACAACGGTTCCAAACTACAACAATTGGGGCAAATTAAAAAAAATCCAAACATAAATAATACTTTCACCTTTAAAAGGAAAATTTTTATGGGGACAACAAGGGCAACACCAGACTTGTGAACTGTCCATCAGCTGCAAGGAAAAGCAGCTGAAAGAATTCCAGACAGTAAAATGCACTGAAACTTACTATCAATAGTTAACTAATATCCATAAATACTTAAAAATTAACTGCCACAAGAACTACTTAAAATGCTCATGTAGTAACTAGCTTCAAGGAACTATAAAATACAGAAGTGAAAATAGTTTTCTCTGATCTTTGAAAAGAGGGCCAAATTGAGTTTAAGGGCATTATTGAGGTTTGTGAAACCTAAAAATCTATCTTGGGATAATTTTAATATGTAAATCTTCTCATTCATGCCAACCAGCTGCTATCGAACTGATACTGACTCATAGCGACCCCGTGTGTGTCACAGAAGAATTATGTTACATATGATTTTCAATGGCTTCTTTTTTTTTTTTCCGGGGATGGTGAAAGTAGACTGCCAGGGCTTTCTTCCAAGGTGCCTCCAAACTTTCAGTTAGCTGCTGAGCATGTTAACTGTTTGCATCACCCAAGGACTCGTCACCCAGCAGCACTTCCAAAGAAAATTATTCTCCTTGATAATTAAAAATAAAAAAAACTAAGAAAATCTATATTTTTATAGGCAAAGAATATACAGAAGTAAAACAGTATCATGATAAGGTTATTCTTAGTAAGGCAAGGCGATATTGCTAATGAATGCATCCTTCTTAACCCATGATAACACCATCTAGATTGAAAATGCTACTATGAAGTCAAAGAAATCTCCACTGTTTATGTGTATCTTTAAAAAAAATATTTTTCCCTGTAAATAAAATGCTGAAAAAAGTTTACACAGTAAACTCTGTGTCACTAATTACTCAATATTAAAACAAATACAATCCATTTAGATGGTACTCACTGGGCTAAAAAAAGAGGGTGGACAGCAACCCAAAAAATCAAACCTATTGCTGTCGAGTTGATTCCAACTCATAGTGATTCATAGGATAGAGAAGAAGTGCCCCATAGGGTTTCCAAGGCTGTAAATCTTTATGGAAGCAGACTGCCATATCTTTCTCCCACAGAGTGGCTGGAGGGTTCAAACTGCCGACCTTTCAGTTAGCAGTCGAGCATTTAACCACTGCTCCGCTAGGGCCCCTGAGGGGGGACACAGGAAGCTATTTTTCATCACAGTAATAAAAATTGACTAAAGGAATTAAAATCAGGGCACTATGATTCGTAAAGACATCACTACTCTAAGGACAAGAATGACAGTTTAAATTAGCCCAGATAAAATATGCCTAGGTCAGGAAGACCAAAACTAAGCTGGTTTGCCAATCTTCCTGGCTGCATCCAATCTACCAAAAAAATAAAATATCCTGACTTTCTCTTACTTACAATCTTCCAATTACCATCCCCCTTGTTTCTTTAATCTCACCTCCTGTTACTCTCACCATCACTGTACTCTCTTGACTTCAAACACACAGGCTTTCTTTTGGCCCATGGAGTATGTTCTGCTCATTTCTGCCTCAGGGTCTTTGTACTTGCTGTTCTCTTAAACTACAACACTCTTTTCCCAGGCCCTACAATAACGTTCCTGCTCAATGTCACCTCTCAAAAGGTCTTCCTCTCTTATGCTTCTTCAGTTTTCTTCATAGCATTTAACACCAGCTGAAATTAAATATACATTTGTTTACTCGTATAAGCTGGAAATGACTCAACAGCAGCGGGTTTGGTTTGTTTATTATGGGTCTCTCTCAACGAATGTAAGCACCACAAAGGCTAGGACTTTAATTCCCAGTGCCTAGAACAGTGTCCTAAAACACAGTGAGTGCTCAATAAATACTTATTGAAAGAGTTGAATGAACAGTATCTGATATCACTTATTACCATATTCAGTATATGTGAAGAACACTTAAAAATAAAATCCAAAGTTATCTGAGATAAATATCAAGAACTATATGCCTCACTTCTGAACTTCTTCAGTAAAGGTCATGGAACTTAAAACTTCAGTGTATAGTCCTTTCTTTATGGTGGTGGTGTTGTTCAGTGTTGTGAGGCCGGTTCCGACTCATAGTGACCCTGTGTACAACAGAACAAAACACTGCCTGGTCCTACGTCATCCTCACAATCCTTGCTATGTTTGAGACCACTGTTGCAGCCACTGTGTCAATTCATCTCGTTGAGGGTCCTCCTCTTTTTCGCCGACCCTCTACTTTACCAAGCATGATGTTCTTGTCCCAGGATTGGTACCTCCTGATGACATGTCCAAAGCACGTAAGATAAAGTCTCACCATCTTCCCTTCTAAGCAGCATTTTAGCTGTACTTCTTCCAACACAGATTTGCTCATTCTTCTGGCAGTTCATGGTATCTTCAATATTCTTCGCCAACAGCTTAATTCAAAGGCATTAATTCTTCTTTGGTCTTCCTTATTCATTGACTAGCTTTTGCATGCATATGAGGTGACTGATAATACCATGGCTTGGGTCAGGTGCACTTTAGTCCTCAAGGTGACATCTTTGCTTTTTAACACTTTAAAAAGGTCTTTTAGCAGGAGAAAAATCTAGAACAAAATTCAGATTCGTGGAAAAAGACCAGACTTACTGGTCTGAGACTGGAGGAACCCCCGAAACTATGGCCCCAGGACGTTCTGCTAATCCAAAACGGAAACGATTTCTGAAGCCTATTTTTCAGACAAAAATCAGACAGCCCTATAAAACAAAAAATAACATGTGAGGAATGTTCTTCTTAGTTGAGTCAAATATATGAGACCAAATGGGCAGATCCTGTCCAAAAGGACACAGGAAACCTGGGGTGAAAGAGGTAGTGTGCTGTCACATTGTGGAGACTGCAAACAACAAGTGTGTAAATTTCTGAATGAGAAATTAACTGGAGTTGTAAATTTTCACCTAAAGCACAGTCAAAATAAATAAATAAAAAGGTCTTTCGTAGCAGATTTGCCCAGTGCAATACATTGTTTGATTTCCTAACTGCTGCTTCCATGGGCGTTGACTGTGTATCCAAGTACAATGAAATCCTTGACGTCAATCTTTTCTCCGTTTATCATGATGTTGCTTATTGATCCAGTTGTGAGGATTTTTATTTTCTTTATGTTGAGATATAATCCATACTGAAGGCTGTAGTCTTTGATCTTCATCAGGAAGTGCTTCAAGTCCTTTCACTTTCAGCAAACAAGGTTGTGTCATCTGCATATCGGAGGTTGTTAATGAGTCTTCCTTCAATCATGATGCCGCGTTCTTCTTCATATAGTTGAGCTTCTCTTATTATCTGCTCTGCATACAGATTGAATAAGTATGGTGAAAAGATACAACCCTGATGCACCCTTTTCCTGATTTTAAAAGATGCAATATCCCCTTGTTCTGTTTGAACAACTGCGTCTTGGTCTATGTACAAGTTCCGCTCGAGCACAGTTAAGTGTTCTGGAATTCCCATTCTTCCCAGTGTTAACCATAATTTGTTATGATTCACACACTCCATTGTCTTTGCATGTCAATAAAACACAGGTAAACATCTTTCTGGTATTTTCTGCTTTCAGCTAGAATCCATCTGACATCAGCAATGATATCCCTTGTTCCATGTCCTCTTCTGAATCCAGCTTGAATTTCTGGCAGTTCCCTGTCAATGTACTGCTGTAACCGTTTCTGAATGATCTTCAGCAAAATTTTACTTGTGTGATACTAATGATATTGTTTGATAATTTTCACATTCAGTTGGATCTTCTTTGGAATGGGCACAAACATGGATACTTCCAGTTAACTGGCCGGGTGGCTGTCTTCCAAATTTCTTGGCAAAGGCAAGTGGGCACTTTCAGCACTGCATCTGTTTGTTGAAACATCTCAATTGGTATTCCATCATTTCCTGGAGCCTTGTTTTTCGCCAATGCATTCAGTGCAGCTTGGACCTCTTCCTTCAGTACCATCAGTTCTGAATCATATGTTACCTCTTGAAACAGCTGAACATCAACCAATTCTTTTTGGTAAAGTGACTCTGTATTCCTTCCATCTTCTTTTAATGCTTCCTGCATTGTTTAATATTTTGCCCATAGAATCCTTCAATATTTAAACTCGAGGCTTGAATTTTTTTCTCCAGTTCTTTCAGGTAGATTAGCTAATAGTTAAGAGTCCCTGGGTGGCACGAATGGTTAAGAACTTGACTACCAGCCGAAAGGCTGGCTGTTTGAACCCACTGCAAGAACCACAGGAGACAGGCGTGGCAATCTCCTACCAAAAGGTCACAGCCTTGAAATCCCTATGGAGCACTTCTACTCTGCACACATGGTGTCACCATGAGTCAGAAAGGACCTGACAGCAATGACAGTTAATAAGTTATTTAAGAAGTCCGCTATTCATTACTGAGTTAAAACTATACAGATGGTTAATTCACACTGCTTTAAAATCACGAAGTATCTATTAATTAAACTTTTTTTGTTGCTACATTTCTGAATGATCAGACTTCTAAGCTGCCATGCTTGTTTCCTGCAGGGATCTTTTCTGGCTGATTCACTGCTGTATCCCTGGTGCCTACAACATACTAGGCCTAGCACACGTGCTCAACAAACATTTGTTACATCGAAGAATAGATGAACGAATGAAACTTGAATTAGTTTTTTACCTGGGTTCTTATATGTGCCAGGAGCCCCCATAGTGCAGTGGTTAAGAGCTATGGCTGCTAACCAAAGGGTTGACAATTCGAATCCACAAGCTGCTCCTTGGAAACCCTAAGGAGGAAGTTCTATTCTGTCCTGTAGGGTCGCTATCAGTTGGAAATGACTCAACAGCAACGAGTTTGGTTGTTTTTTTGGTTTTACACATGCCAAAAACAATCAATCTGAGTTTACCTGTGGTTTATGTGGTCCTCCTGTGGTGTCTACTTTATTTTTTAATTTACGGTTAGATTAACACTACAAAGATGTGCTTTTCTCAAGGGTAAATGGGTAAATTGCATTAATGGAGGCAATAAAAAAAGGACTGTAGAATAAATCCAAAATTTCAGTTTTAATTTACTTTCTCCGTATTAAGTGGAAATAATAGAAAAATAAGGAGCTTAACACTGTATTTCAATCTACTGATATTGTCAATAATATGCAGTTGTGGGAAAGTATTATTTCATACTTCATTATAAAACGTAAGCAATACACTACATATTACAGTGTCACAAGTTATGCACTGAATACTTCAGATTGTTCCTAGTCTTTTACTACACCCAGACTTAAATGGTTACGCCACAAACAGCATGCCTGTAGTTTGACTGCTGGCAACTTTTTTCTATTCTCTTTTGTATTTCAATAAATCAGTACGTATTTAATTAGTGTCTATCTTGGGCCCAGATGTGATGGACACTACATGGTCTCTGCTGTAAAGATGATCAAAATCTAACTTAAGACTTTACATCTATGAAGAGCTCAAGACACTTCACCCATCAATTGTACATCCTCAATCTTCCAAGTTAGCTTAAAAAAAAAAAAAAAAAAAACCTTAAAAATGTTACTTCTGCTTTAAAACAAATTACACCAAACTTCTGAAAGGAACAGAGCCCTGGTGGCACAGTGGTTAAGAGCTCGGCTGCTAACCAAAGACTAGCAGTTTGAATCCACCAGCCACTCCTTGGAAACACTATGGGGCAGTTCCACTCTCCCCTAAAGGGTCCCTGTGAGTCAGAATCAACTCGACAGCAATGGGTTTTGAAAGGAACAATAAAACAAAAATGTGTTGACAGTTTTACGCCTATGCCAGATTAAACACGATTAAAGTATCTTTCAAAATGATACTAGTCACATCATTTCACTCTAAGACAAGATAGCTTGTTCATAAAGTTCAAGGTGAATTTCCAGATGTATTTCTAATAGGATTCTTGGATACTTTTCACGGTAAGGAAAACTCAGAAAGCGTAAGTAACAGAATTTATGTGGAAAAGGCATTAAAGTCCCTCTCGTCCTGTCCTGACTGTGCAGGAGAAAATGTTTTTGTGTTGTTAGGTACCATCGAGTTGATTCTGCTCACAGCAACCCAATATGACAAAGTAGAACTGCCCCCGAAGGGTCTTCTAGACTGTAACCTTTACGGGTGCAGACCGCCAGGTCTTTCTCCTGCAGAGCCCTAGGTAGGCGAACTACCAACCTTTCTGTTAGCAGCCGAGTGCTTACCCATTGCTCCACTTGGGCTCAAAACTTGTCCTGTGTCCCACAAAGTGATACTCGTGAGGACTGTGCCTCTGAGCTCAAGTAGATACAAGAGACTAAAGGGGCAGCTTCTATCCGGAGGTGAGATGGGAAGGCAGAGAGGGTTAGGAGCTGGCTGAATGGACATGGGGAACCAAGGGTGGAAAGGAAGAGTGTGCTGTCACAGTATGAGGAGACCAACTAGAGTCACATAACAATGTATGTATAAATCTTTGCATGAGGAAAAAAAAAACTTGTTCTGTGTCCCAGACAGTGGTCAATTCGGTATTAAAACTCAGATTTGGAGTTCTCAATTCACTACCCCGTCTCCAGCTCTTTACAAACGCTCATATACACAATTTTAACTTTATTAACTACCTACCGAAAACACTGCTCTAATTAAAACCACCTCATCTGAGGCGCCACGAGTAACAAGTTCTAAGCACGCCACACGGTGAAAGAAAGCTCAAGACCACCCATCGCAGAAGCAGCAGCTAAGCCTTTTCGGGAGCGCCAACAGCTCGGAAACGTTTGCTGACAAGTAAGGTGAAAACAAGAGCAGAGACACAAAAAGGCAGAGAAGGCAGCGTTACAGGGCCAAAGTGGTGAGTGAGCAGAAGGGTGCGAGAGGTAGAGAACGAAGCCAAGATGAAGGCAGAGAAAGCAAACGATGTCAAGGCTCAGCAGCGCGGACACTGAGGGAGATTACAGCCCCGAGCTCCCGCTCAGAAATGGGCGCTTCGGCGGCGCCGACCAGAGGACCTGGGCAGCGCCCGCCCCTGCGACCCAAGAAGCTGCGGACCGCCAGCAACAAGCGCTCCGCAAACTCACCACTGGGAACTCCGTAATGGCGGCGGCGGGGGCGGAGAACCCGGGGGGCGGGTCCGCCACAGCCACTCACCGCTGCCGGCATCTTTCGAACCGGCTGGGAGAAGCTCTGAGAAAAGGCGGAGGAGAAGGGCGGGGAAGGCGCC